AAATAAATTTTTCTCCCATGTGGGCTGATTCATATACTGGAATTTTTTTTATTTTTTATACTAGTCATGGTAGCAATCAACGACTTATAGTGGAACTGTGATATTGCGGCAGGCATTTTTACACTAATTGACATTTTGTGGGAAACAGTGACACTAATACAGTGATCAATGCTAAAAATATACACTAATCACTGAACTATTGACACTGGTTGGGAAAGGGTTAACATCAAGGGTGATCAAAGGGGTAAGTGTGTACCTAGCTATGTGCTTGGTGTGCACTAGGTGGTGCTTCTACTATGGGAAGTGATGGATCGTGTTCTCAGCTCTGCAGAGATACTCGATTCATGATATAGATACAGCTCTGCTCTTCCTCCCTGATCGACGATCTGCAGTTGCTCACTGTGATCCTCTGGGGCCGCATGCACCACAGTGTGGTGGAAGTGAGAAATCACGTATATATACACATGTGATTTTGCACAGGAATAGCACCCTGTAGCAGTACAGCTGCTATAGGGCGGATGCTAAGTGGTTAAAATCAAAACCAAACATTTGTGATATTGCAGCTTACCAATCATTAGATGTAATGGCTGCATTAGTTTTCTTTTTAGGTTTTTTTCCTTTATTTTCATCTGGGGATCTGGCCAGTAAGTCTGTTGCTTTTCAAAAGAACAAGCTGTCCTGTTTAACCGCTTCCTTTCCGCCCCATAGCAGAAATACTGCTACAGGACGGCAGAGGTGCACAAAATCACTCATATATGTGACTTTGCAGTTCCAGGTAGGGGACGCGCACAAGCGGCGCATGCGCGTCCTACCCACGCCGTCATTCGGGACTCGGCGGTCGATCACCGGGTCCCGGCCAGTGATTACTTGCCGGCACCCGGTGATCGCCGAGTATCTCCAACGGGGGAGAGACCTGTATGTAAACAATACAGATCTCTCCCCTGTCAGCTCCTGCACACTGCTTTGTATGGCTCTGCATAGCAGAGCCATACAAGGCAGTGTGCTTACAGTGAAGCACACACAGTTAACCCTTTGATCACCCCAGATGTTAACCCCTTCCTGCCCAGTGCCATTAGTACAGTGTCAGTGCTTTTTATTAGCACTGATCACTGTATTGGTATCACTGAGGATGACAGTGACACCAAATCAGTCCCCCCCCCCCCAGTGTCAGAATGCCCTCTGCAGTCCCGCTATAAGTCGCTGATCACCGCCATTACGAGTGCAAAAAAAAAATCCAGTACCTATACCACCATTTGTAAACTCTATCACTTTCACGTAAACCACTTAATTTACACGTATTGGGATTTTTTTTTTTAAGCAAAGACTACACTTTGGCCTAAATTTATGAGAAAATTAGATTTTTTACATTTTATTACTGGACATGTTTAATAGCAAAAAGTCAAAAATACAGTTTTTTTTCTCAAAATTGTCGGTCTTTTTTTGTTTATGAGCAAAAAATTAAAAAAAACGCAAAGGTGATCAAATAACACTGAAAGAAAACTCTATTTGTGGGCACAATGTAAATTTCATTTAAGTACAGTGTTGCATGATCACACAATTGTCAACTAAAGTAACGTAGCGCCGTATCACAAACAATGGCCTGGTCAGGAAGGGGGGAAATCCTCTGGAGGGCGAGGGGTTAATAGCAGTCACAGGTTTGAGACAAATCATTTACCACTGACAGGCCACTGGAGTCCAAAGTTTTTTTTTATTTTGTACAAGTAGGACAGCTTGAAATCTGGCAATTTTGTTTTCTTTTTTGTTTTTTTGCTGATTTCCTGCTGGAGAATTCATCCTATTTGTGTGGTAACCATTGTCACTGAACAAAAATTGATGGGAATTTTAAAGGATAAAAAGGGGTGGGGTTGCTGTTAACCACTTCATATCCGGACACATCCACCCCCTTCCTGTCCAGGCCAATTTTCAGCTTTCAGTGTTATCACACTTTGAATGAGAATTGTGCGGTCATGCAACACTATATCCATATAAATTTTTTAGCATTTTTTGAGACAGATAAAGCTTTATTTTGGTGGTATTTATTCACCGCTGGGATTTTTTTTTTTTTTTTTTTTTTGCTATGTAAATGAAAAAGTAAAAAAATTTTTGAAAAAAAAAGTGTTTTTCTTATACAATTTTGCAAAGAAATAATATTTCATCATAAATCTTGGCCAAAATGTATTCCGTTATCTTTTTAGTAAAAATAAAAATAACCCAAATTAGTTTATATCCAAAAATTATCATTTTTTATTTTTTTTTATATTATTATTTATGGGTTTTTTTTAACATACTGTCACCCTAGCAGTACAGTGTCACCATGGTCTACACTGATTGCTTTTACACCCATAAAGGCTGTAAAAGCAATCATTTCTCCTTCTCTCTGGCTGCATTCTTGCACCCATTGAGAACTACTGTGTGAGCTGTGATTGGTCACAGCTTGTCACATGGTACAAGGCTGTTGTGAATAGCCTTGTACCATGTGACCTCTGTGATCATTCACAGATTTCACACGTAGTAAGCAATGATGTCAGAAATGACATCTTGCTTACTACTCTGCATGTGATCACTGCTTGGCCAATCAGAGATGACATGATTGGGGCCTCGTACAGAGGTCCCGTCCAACGATCAGTGTTCCACTGTGTACGGAGGACACAGCCGGCACCGGATCGCAGTGCTGTCCCAGGGAGCACGCACAAGCAAGGGGCGGGGAGTCCGTTTATAAATGGCCACCTGACCCTGCACTGCCACTGTCCAGCCGTTTATATACAACGGCCGGACGGGAAGTGGTTAAAGTATTACTACAATTTTTTTTTTTTACGTTTTGGATAGAGTAGAGAGGGATTAGAACCCCTGTCTGTTTTTACTGCTGTTTGTGCCCCCATTAGGGAGATTGCTCCATATCTGTTTGTCCTGTTTACCATTATCATTGAAAGTGAAAGCAAAAGAAAATACCAAATTTTGGGTTGTCCCCAGAAAAGTAATAGATAAAAAATCTTCCAATGGGGACACTAGTTCTGGTGACCGGGGGGGGGGGGGGGGTTTCCCAAGGAATTCCCTTAATTTGCAGTGATTTCCTCTCACTTCCATTTTGGCTTTAGGACAGGAAGTGAAGGGAAATCTCCCCAATGGGACACACATAGCAAAAAAAAAAAAAGCCAACAGGGTTGTAACCAGGGCTGTGGATAAGGGCTTACCACCAGCCCTCTTGTACAGGGCCCAGGCCAGCAGGGGGGGCCCAGGCAGGTGGGTGAATCTGATGTGGGCAGGGAGAGTGATAGGGACAGCGAGGCAAGAGGGGAACCTGATCCCCTGCATGGCTCCCTCTGCAGCAGTTGAAAGCTGGCTTTTCCCTCCTGCTGGCTTTCAGCTGCTGCAGACAGCCATACGGGGGATCAGTTCCAGTAATTGCCCCCCCTCCTTTCCCGCCACACTGATCACCTTCCCTGTGCACCATACATTTGCCCCTGCTGCCCAGGCCTCCCTGTGTGAGCCCCACCACTGCAGTGCTGCCAGCTTCCCTTCTCTCCTTTTCACCTTCAGGATTGATCAGCATGGAGAGTGGGAGAAGGGTGCGGTAAATATGGCACATTTACCAGCCCCTTCCTTTCCTGAATGAATACAGTAAGTAATCAGTACCGATCAATCACTGTGTTCATTCATAACTGTGCCATAGTAAACTGTGTTTATTTGGGGGGGCTGTCAGGCTGGCTATATAGGGCCTGGTGATTTCTAACAGCAGCCCTTGCTCTATCCAAAAAGAAAAAAAAAGTTTTGCCTATAGTTCTTCTTTAATTATTCTCTGGGGGTTAATTCCCCGGAGTTCTTCTTTAAAGTTACTTCTAGGGAAATGTAGGAAACTGTGAAGTTCAACTCCAATGCTCTGTATTCTACCATCAGTTGAAAACACACAAGACTTGACATGTATGACATTCCAGACGAAGTATTTTAAATGGAAATGTTATGCTGTACAAAGTTTACTTCTCACATATATCAAAATTACCTAAAATTTGGTGACTTTGCTGGTAATGGAACTCACCCGTCAATTTCTGATATCTGTCAGGGACCGCAATGGCAGCCAATCAGCACCAGAAATGCTATTAGGGGATCATGAGGGCCCCTGTGTCCTTGCCCAAACTCAAAAAACGCTATGAAAAAGGTACCAGGGGCATCTCATAGGGCCCCCTACTGACCCCGGGCCCTCGGGCAGTGCCCGAGTTTCCAAATGGTCAGTCCGCCCCTGTTACATACACAGTTACATAGTTACTCTGGCTGAAGAAAGACAAAAGTCCATCCAGTTCAACCATAAAAAAAAAAAAAAAAAGTTATAATCCTACACCCATAGTTCATTCAGAGGAAGGCAAAAACCCAGCAAAGCATGATCCAATTTGTTCCTGCAGGGGAAACAATTCCTTCCTGATCCCCCGAGAGGCAATCGGATATTCCCTGGATCAACGTTACCTATAAATGGTTAATTTGCACATCCCCAGATATTTACCCTAATGTACTGCAAACAACAAAGTCTTCTGCTATATACAATAGATATTACATAAGTGGCGATTTTATGCAATGTAATGTAGCAGAATTGTAAAGCTTAAAGTGTAACTAAACCCTGCATTCACTATATCCGCTCTCCGTGGACCCTGCATTCACTATATCTGGTCTCCCCAGACCCTGCATTCACTATATCTGGTCTCCCCAGACCCTGCATTCACTATATCCGGTCTCCCTGAACCCTGCATTCACTATATCCGGTCTCCCGGATCCTGTATTCACTATATCTGGTCTCCTCGGACCCTGCATTCACTATATCTGGTCTCCCCGGACCCTGCATTCACTGTATCTGGTCTCCCCGGACCCTGCATTCACTATATCCGGTCTCCCCGGACCCTGCATTCACTATATCTGGTCTCCCCAAACTCTGCATTCACTATATCTGGTCTCCCCGAACCCTGCATTTCTCTATATCCGGTCTCCCCAGACCCTGCATTCACTCTATCGGTCTCCCCGGACCCTGCATTCACTATATCTGCTCTCCCCGGACCCTGCATTCACTATATCCAGTCTCCCAGGACCCTGCATTCACTATATCCGGTCTCCCCGGACCCTGCATTCACTATATCAGGTCTCCCAGGACTCTGCATTCACTATATCTGGTCTCCCCAAACTCTGCATTCACTATATCTGGTCTCCCCGAACCCTGCATTCTCTATATCCGGTCTCCTCAGACCCTGCATTCACTCTATCTGGTCTCCCCGGACCCTGCATGTACTATATCTGCTCTCCCCGGACCCTGCATTCACTATATCCGGTCTCCCCGGACCCTGCATTCACTTTATCCGGTCTCCCTGGACCCTTCATTCACTATATCCGGTCTCCCCGGACCCTGCATTCACTATATCTGGTCTCCCCGGACCCTGCATTCACTATATCTGGTCTCCCCGGACCCTGCATCCACTATATCCGGTCTCCCCGGACCCTGCATTCACTATATCTGGTCTCCCCTAACCCTGCATTCACTATATCTGGTCTCCCCTGAACTCTTCATTCACTATATCGGTCTTCCTGGACCCTGCATTCACTATATCTGGTCTCCCCAGACCCTGCATTCACTATATCTGGTCTTCCCGGACCCTGCATTCACTATATCTGGTCTCCCCGGACCCTGCATTCACTATATCTGGTCTCCCCGGACCCTGCATTCACTATATCTGGTCTCCCGGACCCTGCATTCACTATATCTGGTCTCCCACAGTACACACAACATGGACATGTAATTATGTTAGTAAATATAAACTACTAAATACCTTTTCTTATCAGCAGTTAGAGCAGTCTTGTGACTTCAATCAGTGTCTAGCCCAGCACTAGCTAAAGCATGTAGGGGGGGGGGGGGTTTCTTTCTGCTCTGGGAAGATGCAAATTTCCTGACCTCTGTTTGGATAGTGCTGATTGGCTCTGTGATGATCACATGCATTCTTGCAAGTAAAAAAAAAAAACCTCTCTAACAAAACACACTAAACCGAGCATGTGCATGCCTACGGATTAGTCTGGAGATAAGAGGTGATCACTTGAAAAAGGGGAGGAACAGAGAATAAAGGATCAAACAGCCTTTTTACACAATCCAGAGGATTAACCACTTAGGTTCCACAGTGAGTATAACAAGCATTCTTTACTGCATATACAGACTGATTTTACTGTTGTGGGTTTAGTAAGATTTAATTTCCCCATGGCCCAAACTACTATCGCATCATGAGGCATCATCCAAATGAAACTAATGAAGGAAATGCATTTGTTAACTTCATTATAGCTTTTTTGGTTCGTTGACATTCGTTACTATGTCCATTCAGAGATTTGTATACGTCCGAATCTCCGAAAATGAAATGTTTGTCTGAAAAATGAACCCAAAGGAAACACACATGTCTAATGTTCACTGCTGCCCCGCATTCTAATTATCCCCTGCTACTTGTGCAGTAGGGCACTTGGGTACAATGGAGTCTGTACAGGTACTCAACTTCCCGGTGCTCTCCCACCACTCAGAGCTGGAAGTACAAACCCTGTGTAAATTAATTGTTTATGGTGTCAGAGCTTAGCCAGGGTTCATGACATCTTCCTCTAATGACGTCTTCTATTAACATGCTCACCACTGCTGTAGACCCTCATTGACCACTGCAACTCATATAATAGGTCACTTGGGTACAATGGAGTCTTAATTAATGCAGATGTGGTTGTTGGGACCTGAGGATTAATCTGGGGGGGGGTTAATGTTTTTATGGCAAGGTGACTCAACTCAACAGTTGACAGGTACTCAACTTCCTGGAGCTCTCCCACTACTCAGAGCTAGAAGTACAAACCCTGTGTAAGTTCAACATTCGTTGTGTCGGAGCTTACCCAGGGTTAATGACCTCTTCCTCTAATGACTTCTATTAGTATGCTCACCACTGCTGTAGACCCTAATTGACCCCTGCAACTCGTATGGTAGGTCACGTGGGTACACAATGGAGTCTTAATTAATGCAGATGTGGTTGTTGAGACCTGAGGATTAATCTGGGGGGGGGTTAATGTTTTTATGGCAAGGTGACTCAACTCAACAATTGACAGGTGCTCAACTTCCTGGAGCTCTCCCACTACTCAGAGATGGAAGTACAAACCCTGTGTAAGTTCAACGTTCATGGTGTCGGAGCTTATCCAGTGTTAATGACCTCTTCCTCTAATGACGTCTTCTACTAGTATGCTCACCACTGCTGTAGACCCTCATTGACCACTGCCACTCGTATAGTAGGTCACTTGGGTATAATGGAGTCTTAATAATGCAGATGTGGTTGTTGGGACCTGATGATTAATCTGGGGGGGGGGGGGGGTTAATATTTTTATGGCAAGGTGACTCAACTCAACAGTTGACAGGTGCTCAACTTCCTGGAGCTCTCCCACTACTCAGAGCTGGAAGTACAAACCCTGTGTAAGTTCAACATTCGTTGTGTCGGAGCTTACCCCGGGTTAATGACCTATTCCTCTAATGACTTCTTCTATTAGTATGCTCACCACTGCTGTAGACCCTAATTGACCCCTGCAACTCATATGGTAGGTCACTTGGGTACAATGGAGTCTTAATTAATGCAGATGTGGTTGTTGAGACCTGAGGATTAATCTGGGGGGGGTTAATGTTTTTATGGCAAGGTGACTCAACTCAACAATTGACAGGTGCTCAACTTCCTGGAGCTCTCCCACTACTCAGAGATGGAAGTACAAACCCTGTGTAAGTTCAACGTTCATGGTGTCGGAGCTTATCCAGTGTTAATGACCTCCTCCTCTAATGACTTCTTCTACTAGTATGATCACCACTGCTGTAGACCCTAATTGACCCCTGCAACTTGTATGGTAGGTCACTTGGGTACAATGGAGTCTTAATTAATGCAGATGTGGTTGTTGGGATCTAAGGATTAATCTGGGGGAGGTTAATGTTTTTACGGCAAGGTGACTCAACTCAACAGTTGACAGGTACTCAACTTCCCGGTGCTCTCCTACCACTCAGAGCTGGAAGTACAAACCCTATGTAAGTTCAACATTCGTTGTGTCGGAGCTTACCCAGGGTTAATGACCTATTCCTCTAATGACTTCTTCTATTAGTATGCTCACCACTGCTGTAGACCCTAATTGACCCCTGCAACTCATATGGTAGGTCACTTGGGTACAATGGAGTCTTAATTAATGCAGATGTGGTTGTTGGGACCTGAGGATTAATCTGGGGGGAAGTTAATGTTTTTACGGCAAGGTGACTTGGGTACAATGGAGTCTTAATAACCAGCTTCACAGTACATGGTCTTCGGCATGGATGAGTAATGTGATTGCTATATTTTTGTCTTGTATCTTGGGTCTATGTCTGGAAGGGGACAACCACAACTTCTTCTTTCTAGTGTGTGACCACTGTGAACTTTGCATCATATGCCACACACAAAACATAAGATAATGAGACATCATCCTTCCAAGACATGATCAGAAGGAAGGTGAGAGGTCATCTTCTAAAGTGGCATTGAAGAAACATCTGGTCTTATAAAAGAAAGAAGATCAAAGGGGGACAGGGGTTAGCAGCAAACAGATGCCAAGTTCTAGTCAGGCAAGCCAATAAGGCCCATGTCATACTAGCATACCTGTGGCTGATGAGAATTCATGAGGCAGATTGAGGGTGTAAACCATGCACCTCAGTTGCTCCATCAGCAACTAAATGAGAGCCACATCACCTTCTTGCTGGCGACTCAAATTTTGCAGTGTTTTTCTTAACAAGGGAGCAATGAGTCGCTCATCCAGCATGTGAGGGTAAGAAAATCAGATGAGGATTTTCCCTGCACATTCTTGTCGATGGGGAACTCTAATCAGTGACAGGATCAATGATGGGACATGGGCCTAAGTCAGTTAATCGATTTATATTTATTTCCTTAACTGAAGCATGCACGTTTTATATTTCAAACATTTTAAATGATTGAGCCTACTTGCCAACATCACACAGTTTATAAAAATTAACTAATACAAAGCTCTTCCTTGAATACATCCCATTACATTAAATTCATCTAGGTTTGTTGTTTTGCAGTTAGAGGCTAGGTAGCAGCATGGGAGTGAGGTAGTGAGTTCACCTCAGGACAGGCTGGGAGGCTCTACAGGTCAGGGCTTCTGGCCCTCAGCCCTCCCACCCTTCCAGAAACTCAGAGAACTTTCTGAAAGAGGGGCGGAGGAGGGGAGGAGGCCCAGATCTGCATGTTTGAGGAACCTTAGCCAATCCCCAAGCTGGAGGCTGGAAATGGTGACCAAGAGCCTGAGCAGCAGAGGAGTTGTTGCTGGAGTCGGGTGGAAGATGGATTTAGCGAAGACTGGAGTGTGGAGCCTTGAAGGGGAGCCTACCTACAGGCTGGTTGCTGGACAGGAAGCTCTCCACTGCCCAAGGTCTCTTAGGGAGGAAATCATGAGCAGCAGGGAAGGAGCCAGCCCAGCAAAAGGCATGAAAGCAGCTACAAGCCACCACGCTGACAGGACAGAGTAAATACTCCTACACCCACTGTGCCAGCTAATGGTAAGCTGCACCCCTATGAGTACGAGCTTTTGCTCGAAACGCATCAGAGAAAGCTACAGTAGGTTGGACGTCACGCCGCCGGCGCCACGAGGGGCCCCGGCGGCCATCTTTGTTTTCATCTGGCCAGATCTACAGAGCAGCCGCATCTATCCGAGTGCCAGGCAGCGAAAGCCATGCTGACCAGATATGACCAGACCAATCTGATGACACCAGAGGTCCAGTGATTTTATACACAAATGCGCATAAAGATTGCGTATCTGGTGAGTGCGCAATCCTTACATTACTTATCACCTGGCTGTTCCAATCATTGGACGTCTGAGGATCATCTTGGATCTTAAGAGCACCCCTTCATTGGACTCTTTTATTTATTGATTTTTGCACTTCTTTCACTTTATAGCCACCATCCAGTGGCTTTATTTTATTAGCACACAGTCACTATCTATTATATGAATTTGATTTTTAATTTCATTATTGTCTGTTATTTTGTATAGCGCTGCACCTCCCCCTTTTTTGAATATTTACGTCTCTGAAGGTTGTATATGGTGCCTTTTTTGGTGTACAGCTGCTGTGTATCTATTCAAGCACTCACTAACTCTGTTTTTTTGATTGTTTACTAGACTCTTGTTCGGACAGATTTCAGTAAGTTATTCCTAACAATTACAGGCCTACAATAAAAAAAATACATATTTCCATGCAAAAAAATGTACCGTTTTGAGCACAGAAATATGGACATAATCAGACCGCTACGGAGGTTAATGCATTTATTGGTGTTTTTTTTTTTTTTGTACAAAATGCGGCCCTGAAGTTATTTAATCGAATAATCCTATTAGAGGCTCAGACTT